CACTTTCGCAATAAAATACTAAAGTCACATTTGCTTATTGATATCGTTAGTCAATCTATTTAAAATTAGAACATGTTTATTCTATATCTATATTGATAAAGTAACACCTCTTAACAAGAGAACATCCTGTATCTTCATCTATTTGAAGGGTTACAAGTATTATAATAAAGTTTGCAGCTCCAAGTCCCGTGCCACCTCATAATGCCGCCTCGTGCGAACATAGCACCTACTCTATCTGTAAACACGGACTTAGTCTACTAGATGTCTCAAATTTAGTATGAATTTTATTCACATATTGACGTTTAAGGATATGTATAAAGAAAGTTATACTAAAGGTTATTTTCTAAGCTTAGAAGTATTAGGAATAAAATCCGACACTGTGCCGGTGCACTGGCGCAACACTAGCCTTACAAAAATGTCGACGTTTATGTCCCCTCACTATTCATTCTGACACGACTTAAATAAAAAAAAAACTAGAATATGAATAGACTTTTATATCATATCGACTCTACCACTATTACACTCGCGAAAAGAGTATCATTCTGTTTAATTCAAACTTTAAAATTTCCTAAGTAATATAAACCAAGTCGCAGACACGTTAAAGTATTCCTTTAAAATTGTTAGTCCAGAAAAATTACATTTAAAAAAGAAAAGTTACGAATAGTGTCTCATCTAGTTACACTCAATGTGTGTAGGAGCGTGGTCCGTGTTGACACAACACTAAATCGTACGTGTTGTATCGACAATCAGTGGCCACCTCATCAGGTAAGCCGTGCGACTTCGAACCCTAATTAGTTACTAGTTATGTAGTAAGAGCTCTTGAAGCTATTCATGATGCCAGATTAGATTTTTTTATACTAATTTATTAGATGTTATATTTCCCACGATTAAATGTAAATAGGAAGTGTTTAAGCTGGTACCTTTTGTCTTACGGTGAGTGTCTGTTGCCTAATTACCAGAAAAAAACACATTGTCACTCTTTAAAAACACAAACAGTGATTGACTCACGGTAAGTTACAACTACAACGATCTCTTATTTTTAAAGAAAGGAGTCTTTTCTCTCTCTCTCTTGCCTTCTCTGTCTACCACTTCTTATAACAGCACTTACGTATTCCGTATTCTATTAAACTAAATCGTTAATTGTAAGTTTAAAAATCATCTACGATTACAACATTTAAATATTTCCAAGTCGGCTATCCACAATGTTGGCGCGCTGTCAACGAGATGACAGCTGTCAGTGAGATAAGTCACAGAGTCATTAGCGGGAGAATGTTGGAGAGGCGAAGGCGCGCTGCCTCTCAGCCACTGCGCTGACAAGGGTCCAACTCTCGGCGTTACACCAATTAGCAAATCTTGTGACGAGATTTGTTGTTAGTGGAATTAAACTTGTACCTATGAATCCTTGTATTGTAATACATTTTTTTTAAAACGCGTAATAAAAAAGGATGAGGTTCTACATTTAACTCCATAAAATCCATAAACGTATCATCGTTAAGTTAATATAAAAAAACATAAAACTTATTTTAATTACTAGAACTATGTATAACGTAGTTAGGTCCTTGTTTTCTGTATTTATATCTGACGGGTAATTTCCCTTTCCTCTAGTTACTTTATGATAAAACAGTTAACGAATTTGTAAGAAATTCGTTGATAATCCGACCTCGGAAATATATTGATTATAAAAATCATAAATATAGAAGTAAAACCTATATCTAGAAAGACCTAGAAAGACCTTTTTTAAATAACCTGGATCCCATATAAGACCTCCGAACTATAAGATAGTGAATATTAAAACAAAAAGCCTAGTATCTATAGATAGAAACTTTTTAAAAATTTAAAAATATATAATTTGAGTTATTACGAATTCTAGCGTTTTCTAAGAAAAATCGAAAGGAAGAATACAAAATGTTTTAAATCTATAAAGTCAACAATAAATTCTTAGAACTTAGTACATTATTAACGTTAGCGCCTAAATAGTCTTTTAACCAAATTATTTTCATTTTATAAATACTACTGAGATTGGGAACATGCAGTGGATACTATAGCTACTAAATTATCTTTTCACAATTTTTTTTTCCTTGTGTAATTCCAATGTTTTTATCGAAAACAAAAAGAGACCAACAAAGTGATATTACGCGTCACATTAATATTGATAGTTTTGTAGACAAATCCAAAGTGTTTTATAAAAATTTCTCCTCTAAATAATAATATCAAATTAATTTAACTACATCTTTTTGGATTAACAATTGTATTATAAAATTCACGCAAAATAAATAAAAATAAAAATAACAAAATTCGGTCTACGAAAGGTAATCGATTCTAGGAGTCATATACTAGTATAATAGAGTGGGCGACATAGCTTTACTCGAAAATAAACGTAGCTAACAAAACGGCAAACGGTCGAAAGTGACCCCAAATCTGTAAGCTTTTGATCCGTAATTGGCGAGGCTGGATTGGCCGAGGGCGCTGGGGGCGCGCGCCCCGGCCCGCCATTGGCCGCCCGGAGCCCCCGCCCTGCCGCCCTGCCGCCGGATTAGGGTGAGATATCGGGGGATGGATCGCTAACAGATAACAGAGTTTAGACCTCTTGATACTTTATTCACGTAGAATGCTTTATAGTGGCTGATAAAAAATACATGACACTCCTTAATTTTTAAATATAGTGTTATAAAAGAGTGCCCGACTAGGAGGTTGCCTAGTCTACGACTCTGGCAATACTAGACTCACTTCAGTACATTGTTACTTGTAAATTTGATGAAATTAAAAGCTAGTTTTCACTGTCTTTCACTAAGACTTTTATTACAATAATAACTGTCGCCACGGCTCCGTCTGCGCGGAATTAAAAAAAACTTAGTAAGTAGCTTATGTTCTTCCAGATTCTTTTCTAAATCCGTGCTGAATTTCAGCAAGATCGGAACTGTTCTGCAGACGGCTTCTAATAAACATCCATCCATTCTAACTTTCGCAATTATAATATTAGTAAGGAGTACGGTTACATGAAAGGGATATATGCTTTTATACAGATGTTTCAACAATGGAAACTTACAATTAGACCTGTTGTGACAAACCAACAAGTAACTATAAATATTCTATTATTGTTTTAGAATATATAACGAAAATAATATCAAAGTATCAAGACGTTTTAGTCCAGTTAATGCCCGCTTTGCATTGGATGATCCGGCGGCGAGCGGGTTACGTCGTCTTACAGTAATTCAAGCCTCCATCTGATGGAGATATGCACAGATATACAAACACTTAGACCACGGACACAATACTATTGAAATATTCAAACATCAAATAAATGCGAATATCTGGATGGATGGATGTTTGTATGAAGTTATTCCATTTCAATATATATCCATACATGACGACATTGATAACGACGACATATTCAGAGGCGGAGGATTACTCCGGCCCTCACACCAGCACCGGCTTACCGCGTAGCCCTTATCTATCTCTAGAACGGCTGCATAGATCTCGCTGAAAGGCACATGAAAGCTATATAGAACATAGCCTGGAAGAACACTACTAACTACACAATAGTAGTTACAGTTTTCAGAGTCGCAGATGACAGTTATATAGGGAAATGAGGTCTACTTCAGTAACCAAATGTGACTAAAGTAAATAGCGAGGTAAATGAAATTATTTAAAATTTTCGTAGTGGCATGGAACGTGTTAACAATAAAGGAAAGTTTAGTAGGAGCCTGTTTAAGTCGAATTCACACTTGAAAGTATTGTGTTAAAAGATTGTTTCTTTTTTTCTAATTGTATTTAAAACAAGAATAATATTTAATTGGTTAATCTGGAACTACGAATCTGATCTGAAAATATATACAAAATAAACATTTATAGATAGGGATATAGGGCGGATTTATTTATCGTTTTTATGTTCAAAGATGCTCGTAGATGGATTTAACCAAGAAAATGCTAATAATATTAATTACAGTGTTACTTATAAAATTTTGGAGAATCTTTTTTTGTAAATGATAATATTTGCATTCTCTTTGTGTCTTTGTAACATAAAATTGTATCATGTAAAAAGATATGCAAGAAGTACGGATTCAATTTCTAAGGAAGCCGTAAGCTGGAAGCCGTTTGAGTAATATTTTTTTTAAAATAGTACACATCATTACGTCATGATTCTAATTAACCCTTAATTCGATGGTATCCAGTGTGACGAACAACTAATAAAAAAAATCTACTGAATTAGTTTAGAGAAAATTACGTAAGTATGACTTTACTACAAAAAAAAACAGTTTTTTGCTACAAAAAATTTCGTCGAATTAAAAAAAAAGGTTAAATTAATATAAAAAATTAAATAAAAAAGTCAAGTTACGGTTTGTAAAAAAATATTTTAAAAGAAGATAAGAAAAGAAGTTCATTCCATGTTTTTTTTAAAACAATACTTAGTTGAAATAGTCTACACCTAAAATTTAATTAATAACTATAGGTAGATACAAAACACGACTACTAAGTGCCAGATAAAAAGCAAACACCAGAATTAATATTTACCTCACACCTCTTTAAATCTCTCCGAGATAGGCACCCCTGAGGGTTGCCACCCCATCCCTCCGGCTGGCGCCTCCCTCCAGCCCTCCCATATCATCCCGAGCGCGACAGTTTAGCCCGGCCCGCGGACCAAATCGCCTCGTTTCCTCAAAACAACGAGAAAACTGACAAATTATATACGTAATTATTATCGATCATACAGACCACCGACGGAATCGCGGTTTTTAATATTATGTTTTAATTTTTCATTTTCCCGCGCTTTTAACAGTTAATAGTTTAGTTTTTTTTTTCGAAAAAAAGCTGCGATTTTTTCATCACAGACTTTAAATATTTCGAAATAAGATAATTGATGAGTTTCTAAAAGTGTATAATTACGTTGTGATTCCAAGACATAGTTTTAAGAAATAATGAAAATTAATTTCAATAGTATTAATCCGTTTTCTAAAAAATAAAATGATTCACAAAATTAAAAACTAAACACATTTTCAAAAATGGAACAAGAAACAAGAAGCGACTCTCCTATGGATTCGAATCGTCAAGAGCAAAATTCGAAAACTTCTTTTTTAATAGAAGACATTTTGTATCGAGGCCAAAGTCGCGGTTTCAAACAGCCAGTACCGGATCCGAGGAGGTTTGATTACGACCGGCCGGAACCGAAGCCGTTCTTCCCAGTTCCAGGGGAAGTCAGGCCCCATGTCCCAGGTAGAGAAGGGTCGTATCTTCACGTGGCCATGGGAGCTCTTGGGGCATATCTACACACTCCAAATACCTACAAGTCTGTGGAAACTCCCTACTTTTTATCTCAAGGTAAGGTTTTTAAAGCCTCGATATTACGTAAGGAACGCTGATATTGTTAATAGCTTTAAAAAATTACATGGAAACTGTATTTATATAACTAATTTAAAGCCATAAATGCTCTAAAACAGAATTAATTCTACGCAACCTAGAGAATTTATCAGTGACAATTGAGTTGAAGGAAAATACCGTTACGGCAAAGAAATAGGTATAAAGCGCAAATACCTAAATGACCAGTTAAGTCAGAATTTTGTGTGAAGTGTAAAGACTCTTCGGTATTCGTCAATAGTTACCTAAAAACGTTATTATAATTGATATTTTCATTTTTATTCTCTACAATACAAGAATCGTAAATTTGCTGATTCGTCGTTGTAAAGTCATCTTGAAAATTTCTTTTCAGCTCCTAAATAAAACATTATAAAACAAGCAATTCTTATATCTTTTATCGTTGATTTCTGAGATCAAAATCTTTGTATAAAACATATCGTCACTATCTCCGAGAAAACAGAGATGAGATAACAATATGTTTTAATGGGGATTTTGGTCTAGGTCTAGGTCTGTCTTTCCCAAAGTGGGCGATGACGCGATTAAATATGTGAAAATATGGTGGCGCTAAATATGTTTATTCTCAAAGAGGGCAGTAGACAAAATAAGTTTGGGAACCACTGGTCTAGGTTATGAATCAAATTCTTAAGTCCGGTGTTCTGCTACTAAAATGGATTTTAGATTTTCATTAAGAGAAATTATGGAGTTATTTTAAATATATAACAGAGATTACTATAAAAATAATAATATTTTAGGAATTAAGAAGAAAGATGATTTATGACCGAACCAATTAACCTGTCGTAGAGATTGAAAATTATTTTAATTCTTTGTAGGAAACATAAAAACATAATATATCACGTTTTGCGATTTTTATTGCTATGAATTTACTTATCCAGGCCTAGGCCGCCCCGCACCCGCGGCTGTAGAGTTTTAGATGATAATGACGATAAAATGATGAATAATGTAACAAAATATTGTGATATGTGCAGGCGTGCCGTACCACGCGCTGTTCACGCCGTCGGAGCTGTCACTGTCTGCTCTCAAGCATTGCCGACGGAGGAAGGCACGGACCGTCTTCTCTGATCCACAACTTACTGGTTGGTAGCTTTATTAAATTACGTATTAGTAAACTTAACAACCTACTATCCAACTTTATCTGCAGTGAGGGAGACGTATGCCAAGAAATGTAATCAGCAGTTTGACTTTGAAATAAAGTTTTATAACATACTAATTGCTGTGTTCTTTATTTTAGGCGCTTTACTAAATCAACGTAAAACAAAAGATTTACTAAGTAAGATTTTATTATACCAATTAGGTCTAGAGAAACGTTTCGAGTCCCAACGTTACCTGTCTACGCCGGAACGCGTGGAATTGGCTGGCGCGCTGAACCTCTCGGAGACACAGGTCAAGACCTGGTTCCAGAACCGGCGTATGAAGCACAAGAAGCAAATGAGGAAGCAACAGCAACAGCAAAGAGGTCAGATAGGAATTCTTTTCTATTCCAACTAGGAAACGAAAATTGTAGACTTTTGTGTAGTTATTTTTCCATGAGAGTGGGTTAAATGTTTTGATGCGGTTGTCATTTCTAAATATATAAACAAGTGAAACCGCTTGATAAGACATTGGTTAAAACTACATAATAATACGGAACGCCTTATTATCGGGTATTAAGAATGTTTATTTCATTGTTGTTTTACGCCAAAACGCATATAAAAGTAGGTAGTACAAACCTACAGATACTACCACCACCAAAAAGTTCCGATGTAACCTTGTCATTTATTAATTTAAAGGGACTACAATCACGAACTGTCAGTGTAACGTTTTATATGTAAGTATGTATTAAATTTATCAACATAATTACTTATCAAATTATCGTGTCGTGTTAAAATTTACGTTTACCTGTTCAAGTTGTAGCGCATAGTTGATTAACTCTCAAGAAATGCCAAGTTTCGATGAATATAATTAAAGTTGGAGCAAGTTGCCAGTTTCTAACAATTGCCGATAGTTAGGGAAAATTGATCAAAGTTCAATCGCTCCATAGAACTAGAATAGACGCTATATTGGTTAATATATGTAGATTTTAAATTATTCGCACTTTACTTAAGCAGTTTTCTTAAGATGCTTTCTTCATGCAAGTTTTATTTACAAGTCAGTAATCTGTCTAGTTAGCTGTGTCGCTAACTAATCCGTTCTTAATAATCTAATATACTAAACGCTTTAAGGTGGTACAGTGTAGTTGATGTTATTTAAAAAAACTAGAATGTATAACGATGCTTACTTATGTAACATTTTGTCATTGTTAAGAGGTAAATATTCATTCTCTGAATTTATTAGTGTTTAATTTTTAGTTGAGGCTATGTAAATGAATGTTAATCGTCTGGCAACCCTATTGCCTAATTGAGAGTAGCAAACCTCAAAGGCGGGGAAATTGAATTTGGAATCGCCGCTTTCGCGCCACAACTCAAGACGTTGCCCCTAATTTGATTTTGTCGACAAGATGGCTGACGTCTTAGTTCCCATGGCAACCGACTTCTTAGAATAATAGCTAAGCAATATTCAACTTTAATAGATCTAGTTAAGAGCTTATTTTGAAAAACGTCGTGGATCGTTTGAGTAATAAAGATGGGGAGTGGTGTGGGTGCAGACAAAGTAGGAGAAGAATGTCTCTGACTTGCTAAAACGTTCTTATTCTACGTATTACTTGGAAATTGATGCTATTTGTATTAAAACTTAATTTTAGAAAGGTGTTTAAATTCGTTACATAGGATTATTTATTTATTACAGGTAATACAGCGGTAGACTTCACAACGAAGCATCATACACAATTAGGAGAAAGTCGAAAGGTAAGAATGTGTATTTTAAACAATGTAAAATTAAACATCTAGCAACCGAAAACGTCCTTTGACAAGTGACAAGAATCACATAAAAAAATGCTATCACTATGCGAATGAACTTCAAATCAAATCTTACTTGTTGAAATTTAATCTTAACTTATAAAAAATTGGACACACAAAATTAAATATCATATTTATTTATAGGCAGAAGATTCTAGAATATCGACAACTCAAACATCAGACTCTGAAACCGAACACAGCGATAGCGATATCGATATTGTCGGCGAGACAAACTACGCACAACACTACGGGAATGGCGGCACGTAAAATAAAACGATAAATTATTAGAATAATTCAAACTTTTTTATCAGATAGATGGCGCTGTAAATAATCAGATTGTAGCTATTGTTGTGTGACGTCATAATGAATAGATTTTTGAATTAAATCTGTCAAATTAAATAAAAAATATGTTTGTAATTTAACTTGGAAATAATAATTGTTGTTAACAATAGCTTTCCTTTTCTTTTATATATAATTTTAATCTCCATTTTATTTAAAACGAATGTAAACTTTTTATGAATTTTACCAATATGACAGATTCAACTGATATAAAAACGGCTAAACACTGACATATATTCGTCTGGTGGCGGCACCGACTAGTTTCGAGCTTATCGGGGGCCCTTCATCAGGATGAGTGGTACTGGTATTATTTCGCGGACGCGGCCGTCGCTCACTCGGTGAGCGACGTGCGGACGAACACATGTACGTAGGTGTTTAGCCGTTTTTATATCAGTTTATTATAATGTCTCACGAAAGTTTGAATAATTTAATATGATGGATTGTTTATTTTAGCTCATTATTTATATTTAAAATAGTGACTCGTGCAATATTACATTTTTAATATCTTGTAAATACTTAAAATAAAATAAAATTATATGTACAATTGTGTTAAAAAAAATCTAGTCAGATCTAGTCTTACCAATATTGGTTTTAAACAAAATTACAATTATATATTATTTCTTTTATTCCCGAATATTAGTAAAGCATTGATAAAAAAATTGTGCTTAATAAATAAAAATAGCGCAACTGCGTTTTGTTTCGAAAGACAAAGAACGGTAGGATTTTTTTTATATCATAAGGTGGCAAACGAGCGAGCGGCCACCTGAAATCGCTGAAATAGCGACGTGACAGTTGCCCATAGACATACGCAATTGTATATGCGTTGCCTACCTTTTAATAACTTTTGTTGTATTAAAAATTGTTTGTATATAAATAAACCTGTTTTCAATATTAGACATGATGAAAAAAACTATCGATTTTAAACGCAATAGAAGTTCGATTAAAATTCTTTTGATAACGAATAACATTGTTTTTAAGTACATAAAAAACATACATTGGAGTTGAACGCTAAAATGCAATATTATCTTTATATAATACCTTAAGGGAACATACCCATACCATGTGACCTATTTTTTTAGTTTATTCGACCCCTCCCTCCCCTCGGTGACCACTCGTAGTGCATGCCAAGACCCCTTTTAGTTTTTACGTAGTAATTCATAATTATGATTTTTAATAATTTCACAGGTAACATAATTTGGCTTATACTCTTCTTTACAGCATAATACATGCATATTTTAATTACTAGTGAATTATGTATTATGAAAAAAACAAGTAACGACTACGTGGCTAAAATCTGTGCCCCCTCCACTCCAGTGACTGACCGTAGTATTTTAAAGACTCCCCTCCCCCCTAACCCCAAACGGATCACGTAGTATGGGTACGTTCCCTTATTTGTGATAGTTATTGAAGTCATTTCATATACATCACAACTATGTACTTTTATATTCTTCGAATAGTTCAATTGGAAAAAAAATAGTTTTAAAGATAATTACATAGTCATAATGAGATTTTCGTTGTAATATATTTCGATATATAAGGAGTTCTAGAATAAATAATAAAATGAAATTGTTTTTTTCTTCAATCCTTATACTTTTTGTGGTTGTTGTCTGTAAATATCATGCAACACAAAAAATTAAAAAAATAAATTATAACCTCAAAACAACCCTTTCATCTAAAAGGCGGGAAAACAATAAGTGGTTATTAATTTTGTTATGCACACAAAACATACAATTTGTAGGATAAGTTGCGACGTGTGCCGTTCAGTCCGCCCTAACAAAGTTGACGCGTCCGTCGGGCGACGTAACCTTGTTACGGCGTTCCGAATCTCACGGACAATTTGCTAGTAATTCACGTATTGTTAAATGTTTCCCCAATCGTAAGAGGGTTGTGGGCAGTATACAGAGAAATTATTAATATGATATAATTTTCGTTATAATAATTTGACACGACTTCAAAATATATTTTTACCATAGTTATAATTTATATAGACAGAGTGACTAACTGTTGCCCGCGACTCCGTCTGAATAAAAAAAAAGAAGCTAAAGTGTTCTTCCAGACTATAATATTGTTAGGGTCCTTCGTGCCTATTTTATAATTATATAGTCATTGAGGGCGTAATTCATGTAGTAATGGTATTTGCATTGACTCAAGACTAGTTGCGCAATTGATTAGCTTCCTTAAACTTAATAATTTACTTTTATTTGTATCGAGTTGAAAATACATAATTGTTTTAATCATCCGTAAATTAATCTTAACCTGTTTTATGATTTTAGATTATATTGTTGAATCGTTAATAAATGTTTTACTATTTTAATACGACAACTGAACGAACGTCCGGTTCCGTTGGATTGGTCTATAGAATAAACGTATAAATGTGAAAACGACCACGGAGACGGATTCATTCGTTGAGTAGTCGACAACCGAAAAGCACTCGAAGGTGATAAGTATCGGCAATTGACGTAATCATTCTAGAAACGGATTGATGATCGATGTTGTGGAGCGAGTGATTAAATAAACGAGTGCAAGGAATATTGTTGTTTGAACTTTTGGTCATCCCCAAAAGTATGTTTTAGATCTACACCGAATTTCAGCCAGATCTGTTGATATCTAACTTTCCATCTATCTAAACATTCGCATTTATAATATTAGTAAGATTTAAGAAAATAATAAAATTTGGATATGTTGTCACGAAATCTTGTATGGATGGATGTTTGTTTGAAGATATCTCCGAAAACGGGTTAACGGATCTCGCTGAAATTTGGCATAGATATAGAACATAGTATGGAAAAAAACATAGGCTACTTATTAAGTTTTTTTTTTAATTCCGCGCGGACGTAGTCGCGGGTGACAGCTAGTACTGTATAACTACAATGCAGTCACCATTTTATATAATATAGTTAAAAGTAAAGTTTTAAAAAAAGCTGAAAGGTGTACCTTACCTCCTTGAATATAATACCTTTCCTCCAGATGGCGTAACTACAGTATGTTGTAGGTTAAAGCTGTAACAGGATGAAAGAGCTGCCGAACAATGCCGCACCTGTCCGGACAGACGCCAAAAAACACTTCAAAGTGGACGAGTAATAGCTGGGATGATGGTATGCAGTAACACTTTCCACAAGTATTTATTTTTAGATGGCCCTTAGTTTGTATGTGATTAGATTTATCATACTCTTAGGAATATTAATTAAAAAACAATGAAGGTGTTTTTGAATTCTTTATAATTAAGCCTTTATAGATGAGCTATGTCTAATATGTAATACGAGTATGTGTAGTTAAAAATAATTAAATTTAATTGTTTAAACAATAATAATGAAAAAACACTAGGAACATATTGCATAACACATATCATGTAACCAAATTATATCAAAATGAAAGCTTTAGTTCGTAAAATTAAAAGAGTTGTATTAAGCCCTACCTTCTCTTAGAACCGCGACAACTCAATATGGCGCCCGCCATTGTTCAAATATCTACCAAACTTTAGTCTACCGTTTTATTTTACAAATTTAAAGCAAATTGAACCTTAGTGCACAGCAATAAAGTTGTTTGTATATTGAGCTATGTTAGAGATAAACTTGCGGGACAGTAATTTGCAGTTATTAGAAGCTGGAATGCGTCGCTTTGATCCAGTTATAGCCGGATCGAACTGGTATTAGGGTGATGTCTGCGAACTTTGAAAGGTTGCAAATTATATGGGAATTGAGAGATTTATGAGCGCTTTTAGATTACATTAGACGGATTTTTATTCCAAACTAGCTATCGCCCGCGACTCCGATCGCGCGGAATTTGAAAAAAAGTTAATGAATAGCCTATGTGTTCTTCCACACTATGTTCTAAAATAATACCAAATTACAGCGAGATCCGTCCAGCCGTTCCGGAGAAAACTTCAAAAAAAAACAAACATCCATCCGCCATCTAAACATTCGCATTTATAATATTCGTAAGACTAGACTAGACTTCTCGTGTCACAATTTTCGTTCCCATATTTCTCCAAAACGGCTTGACCAATTCTCATGAAATTTTGTGAGCATATTGAGTAGGTCTAAGAATCGGTCAACATCTATTTTTAATCCCGCGCTGACAGAGTCGCGGGCGACAGCTAGTAATCAGTAAATTTAAGCCTGAATTGACCTCGTTCGGCTTCTTCTGCTCAGGAAGGAAGCTCAAGTCTGCATTCTGCCGCTTAGAACAGACCACAAATCAAATGACGTCACAGAAAACAGATTTTTCTTCTCCTTTCCACCGCTCACCCTTGCCCTTCTTAACTACATAACTTTAACGACTACTACTAATCTATGTTTTTAAAGTTTTTCCTTATCTTATTAATAGTTTTCTCTCTTAGTAATCAGATAATAAACGTTGTAATAAACATCCAAAATTCAAAGGGACGCGAACTATTGTCAAGGGCGATGTTTGATTACTTTCTATTGGATTATTATTCCCTTTGAACAGACGTGTAGACCCCTGCCTGCTTTCCTATTTAATATATGTTTGATTAACTGATCATATTAAAACGTTGATGGAATAACACGAATTTATTACCATTATTCTACTCATGTTTTGTCAGGTATGTCAGGTTGTCTGGTAGGTATCTAATGTCATCTTTACGTATGTAACTAAAAGACTATATTTTTTATGATTTGCGGAGTGAGGAATTGTAATTTCAGTAAGTAACTGAAATTGAATCCTGTATGGTTTTTTACGTAATATATAAAACCTAAAGTTTTAACCGACGTTAAGATGTGTAATGTAACATGTTACAGAATAGAACAGAACTAGGGTAGGGAATTGAGTTTTATGAACACTTATAATACATAACAACAAAACATATCATAAAACATTCACATAAACCATAAAATATTCTAAAACAAACTTTCATCACCTACTATTATTTTGGACTATTGAGGATAACATTTTTACAAAAATTGAATTTTATATTTCCTTTATCAAATTAGCAGTCTAAAAAATAAGTTTCAAGCTTCAAATCTGTACAAATGACAATACTTACATAAAAAATCTCCCCTTTTCAACCCTTACAATCCTTTTATCGCCTTAAAAAGTAACCTATGTCCTTCTTTAAGCTCCAGACTATCTGGGTAACGAATTTTTAATCGGTCCAATAGTTTTTGCGTGAAAAGACAGGCAGACACAGTTACTTTCGTATTTATAATATTAGCACGATTAGTGATGTTTTTTTGTACTCAAACTACGACAAACTGTTAAAAGGGGAGAAATAATTGTTTGCACTTAACACTAAATGTCACAGATCCCCTTGGCGCTGCTTAACCTTTGTTCCCGCCAATTCACTTGTCACACAGATTATAGATAAAAATCATGAACTTTATAATTCCTGCCATTATGCCATTATATCTTTCAATAAGTTGGACATTATTATTTAGTTTTTATACAGTAATGCGCGCCATGAATAACGTTTTCCTTGCTATTATCGCAATATAAAATTATTGCACATTTTAAAACTATATTTTATTTGCAGTCAACCGCGACTACGTCCGCGCGGAATTGAAAACAAAAACTTAATATGTGTTCTCTCAGACTATATTCTACATCGGTGCCGATAAGATGCCTTCAAAGAATCATCCTTCCATCTAAACATTCGCATTTATAATATTAGTAAGGAGTAAGTTAATGAGTAGGATATTTTATATGCGTACTTTATCAAAGAAAATTCAAGCAAATAATGAAAAAAGTTTACATATAAAAAAATCTAACAAATTATTAAAAAATTGCAGTAGAATTTTTCTCAGTATATTATTATATTTAATTTATTTTGTTGGAATTTACGAAAAGAATCACTTATAGCAATTTCCCGCGTTTTGTCGTCAAAGTACGATTTACGTCAATTAGCAAGTGATTATCCTGCTTGACGCTAGATGGCGCGCACGGGATTACTGTCCATTGGGACTTGTTAGGCGCTGCTTTAGACCAATATAAATTGACCTGCCACTTTAATATATTTTTCATTCTTATATTACTGTTGGGGTCAGAAAATATATCAAATCCACACGATTTGAAAGCGTATAATTTATATTTATAAAATATGATTTTGTGCCTTTGCTTTTACCTGTTAGGATCTAAGACGCAAACAAAATATGGCCTTAGTTTTGGTCTATCTATTTTTCCATACTTAGTTATATATTTTATAATAGTTCATGCTTCAATTCCTTTATTTTTAGATGTATTTTACAAAACGGTTGTCTATGTCTACAAAATAAATTAATTGTACTAGTTTTTATTGTAAATTTGAAACACAAAAGATGACTAAATTGAAATTAATTTGAATTTTTGATAAAACACTGATAGTTCTCAGTAAGGCGTTATGAGAAATTTTGCGATTGTTCTCAGAAATATTGAGGTGTGGACGCAATCTAGGATATAAGGCATGTTGATAGTAGATAAAGGTGTGGCCCCAGTGTTAGCGTTTGAAAAATTATATATTTACAGATATAATATTTAAAATGTGTACATATTTAGTACAGAATAAAAAAAACTAAATTAAATATTTAAATATTTGATAAAAAAAAACTTTTTTAATCAGCCTTGAGGCCGCCAAAATTTTGGAAGGTGTTTGTTCAAGGGTTTTATGTAAATTAGTTGAGATGTGTTCTGCTACATTTCTTCAAGAAATTATAATATAACTCTTCATTACAGTATAATAATGTAAATATGAAGTAGTATTGGTCTTTATTGTTAATCGAATATCCATTTATACGCAACTGTTAGGAAGAAAATCCGACACAGTGCCGGTGTATCGGCACAACACTAGCCTTATTAAAATGTCAACGTTTATGTCCCCTCACTAATTAATCTGACACTTGGTAACAAAAGCGCGCCATTCGCTCTAAATGCATTAAACTAATAATGCATAAAAAATATAAAACCTAATATAATGTACCATAAAATAGGTCAACGCTTAAAAAATCGCTCAGACTATAGATGTACAGTAACTGATAAGCCCTTAAACATAGCGATAATACCAAATGTAGATAAGATACAAAATATTGCCGTCCGCCATTTTGTGTTCAAATGTATAAAGGTAAATCAGTGTCCGTAAAAACCTTTGAGATTTAATTATTAGTTTTGTGTTTTTTCCAGTGTTATGTTTTAATAATTAACTTGAAGAGTGACAAAAGGTTAAGTTTGGTTTTATTACTTTTGTTGTCTTGTTTCTTATCAATTTGTCTAATTGAGTTAATCAAAGTGTATGGTTTGTAGTAGAAAATGAATAATATAACTCGTCATATGTTACAATGCAAAGATAAAGTGTTTTATTTTATAGTGGTGGAGTGTTTTACTTTTTGTCTTTTAAAATATGACCGTCGGCGTAAGGGAGTAAACTTAGTACTGTTTTTATAAAATGGATGTTATTAAATGTATAGACGATAAATTTGCATTTTTATATAAATGTTGTAAAATGATTTACAAACTTTTACAGTATAGTTTACATATAAAATAGCTACACCTAAAAATCCATTTTTCAAATATAAAACATATGAAATGATGATAAATATATATAGGTACATAAATATTTTCCTTGCATCGATCAATAGATAACAGTGTAATCTTATGATTTATACAGTTATTAGATAATGAAAACTTGGTCAATATTATAATCTTACTAATATTATAAATTAGAATGTTTGTATGGATGTTTGTTATAAGATATCTCCAGAACTGCTGCATAGATCTCGCTGTAATTTTGCATAGATGTGGAACATAGTCTGGAAGAACAGATAGGCTACTAATTAAGTTTTTTCTTAATTCCGCGTGAACGAAGTCCTGTGCGACAGCTAGTTTTATACATATCTTTATTAAAGTATATGTTTAATGTATAACTCAAATTATATTCATTGAACTATTATTATTTAATTGGTGATAATACCATAAATTTTTGCTTTATTTTAAATGAGAAATACATATTTTACTTATAATATACTAGCTGTCGCCTTCGGATTGATCCTCGTGAAATTTAAAAACAACAGTTGTGTAGAGTAGTCTATATGTTATTCCGGGCAGTCTACCTCGGAAGCGTGCCCGTGACCTCGTCACTATGCGTAGAAGGAACAGAGGGGTTTAGTGGGTATGCTTCTCATCTGGAAGAGAATCCCACATCGCTACCACTCCCCCCCCCCCGTGGAGAGTATGCGTAAAACATTCCCCTCTAAAAAGGCTGTAGTCTACCTGTTTGGCATACTTCATATTTACGGAATTAAGCCGTTTTGGAGATCTGTAACAACAAACACCCATCCATGTGTTCATCAATCCATCTAAACTTGTGCATTTATAATATTAGTAAGAAGTAAGATAAGATTATTTATTGTTTACGTCATAAGAGGAAAAGATTATTAGATTAATTGGAATCCGGAAACGACTGTTTATAAATAGCAAATGCTGTCAATCTTATATTTCTTAGTCATATAAGATAATTTATGTATTTACAGGTGAAATGGACGGTCGAGTCATATTGTGGTTGGCTTGTGTCTTGTCGGTGATTGCTGTCAGTTCCGCTGAAAGTGAGTAATGTAAAGCAGATTAATATGATCCGGATTCCGAGATTGGTTGGTTAAAATAATTAGCATTGTACAAATACAAAATAAAACTTTGTGATGCACTTTTAATGATAAGCACTTTATAGCATTTAAATTTTGGTGTAAAATATCAGTTTTACGTTACATGTAACGCCATCTAACGACCAGTAGCATAATTTTTAAACTTATTTACAGATGCTACCACTGTAGCCCCACCCACAACTCTGAACCCAGCTTTGAATGAAACTGGGATTTGCAGAAAATGTAAATGCAAAGACAACAAAGTGGATTGCTTCGACCAAAGTATTTCTGAATTTTTCTCTCTACAAGAATGGAATGGTAAGTTGTTAAAACAAAAAGATACGATGTTCTACCGCTAGATGGCAGTGGAAGTAACTTATCGAACAAAAAGCGAATTTTTAGGTGTTCAATTTAAAAAGTAAATTTTTTTACAGTTTGCACGCGAAATAAAGTAGTAGCATATAACTCTACCTATTAACATATATATAATAATTTCAGATTTGAAAGGCTTGAAGCCTACAATTGTGGACTTGAGCGAGAATCTTATAACCAACGTGACAGTGATCGGCGATCTGCCGATACAGATCCTTAACCTCTCAAGATGTTCCATAGAGTTCATAGACAACGCTAGCTTCAGGGACCTGCAGGAGATGACCACATTGGATCTCAGCCACAATAAGTTGACAACTGATAAATTCAGTCCACATGTCTTCGAGGTAACTTAGTACACAATCCGTGTAACCATCCCTTAAAACTTGATGTCACTAGAAAAAAAAAACCTAAACGCTAGCAAATAACGCTCAAAATTGTTTAGTAAACCTCAAACATAATGAAAAAATCTTCTATATAAAGTTCTCGTATTCCAATGTTAGTTACCATACTCCGAAACGGCTTGACCGGTTTTTTTTTAATTTTATATGCATATTCAGTAAGTTTGAGAATCGGCGATCTATTTTTTTAAACGGACGGAGTCGCGGGTAATAATAAGTTGATTATCTTTTTTTTATTTAAGACTGGAAAATAGCACAATTGATCTTAACTGAGTAACTCATATGGAGAAAACGAGTCAAACAAACTTACTTAAATAATATTTCAAATTATCACGTCATGTCGTAGGGTCGTTTCTCCCCCGAGGAATACGAGCCACTAGCAGCGATGCGGAAGCTGAACCTGGCGCACAACGAGCTGCACTCGCTGCACCAGGACTTGTTCGAGCACCTTCCCGAGTTGACAGAACTCGACCTCAGTGGCAACCCGCTCGCCACCATCGACCACGTCACACTCATCGCCATCTCCAGCTTGCCTATGCTCAAGGTACCGTAAAAAAGAATACAAAATCAACCACCATGTTCCTTTTTTTCTTTTTAAGGTTATTACTAGCCAGTAGCCATTTGAAAACAGAGACACTGCCTACTTCCTTTTATAAAAAAGAAGAGATGTGAAGGGAGGAGGAGGAGAGAGAAGTTTCGTGTGTTATTTTCCATGCCTACTTAAGTTTTATATGTTTTCTGAAATAATTAATCGTGATAGAGCTACTAACCGAACCAGAGTATGTCGCGCGACAGTATACTGTTTTCCCCCCAGGTGTTGCGCATGCGCAGTTGCCAACTGACAGAGATTCCGGATAAGTTCCTGCACACGCCGCGCTATCTGGAGCGGCTGGACATCAGCGACAATCTACTGACCGCCGTGCCTCAGGAATTGGAGGAGACTAAGAACCTGGTCTATCTAAACCTCAATCAGAACCCCATTGTTAAGTTGGATATGTCATCCGAGGATTATCCGTAAGGAATACTTCGATGTCTAACTTAATATAATTCTGCATTTTGAATTATTGTAACAATTAGCAAACGCCCGCGACTCCGTCCGCGCGGAATTAAAAAAAAAACTTATATATGTATGCCAAATTTTATCGTGTTCCGTTCAGCCGTTTCTAGATACCTTCAAACAAACATCCATCCATCTATCTAAACATTCGCATTCATGATATTTGTAAGATATTACTATGAAATAAGATTTAAATCCATATTTTATTACATCTCTAAATACTTTGTTTACTTTATTCTTTGCTACACTACGTACGAAATACATTTATGTTAAAAGTAAACGAAAAAAAAAACCTAGAAACATAACATATAATGTTTCTAGTTTTTGTGGTTTTTCGTGACAACTAAGGTCATCGTACAATGATGTATTTTTAGTTTACTTAGTAAAGTTTTGACATTTTTTGGAGCTATTTCACATCGTAACTTAGAGCGTCGGTGGCTCATTGGTTCGAATCCTGCCATGTATCAATGTGCTTTACATTTATCTGCGAAAAAATTCAAAGTTGTGTGATGTCAACTAAGCCGCACTGGCCAGCGTGGTTGATTATTAGTCATACCTGACTTAGGGTAGGCTTCGAGCTTCTCAGTGGGGACGTATAGTGAGCTGATGATTATGACATCTCCAATGTAATCTTCCAGAGGGTTCCCCCGTCTCCGTAAGCTTCAAGAACTGCACATGTGCAACATGAGGGAGCTCCGTAGCATCGAGACCGGTGCGCTGGCGGGTCTGGAAAACCTGCAACGTCTGCATGTCAGCTTCAATCCCAAGTTGACCTTCGTCGACCCCAGGGCTTTAGCTAGGCCGGATGATATCGGGGAGACTTACGATTGGCCTACCGTAAAAGAGGTAATAAGAAAAGATGTTTCTATAGTTTTAATCACATCTTGAGTTGTTTGAAGGAGATATGAGCACATCGAATCAAAAACAATTGATCATCGTTTACTCCTTTAACCAGAATGACACAACAAAATAATTGCTCCAAAACCCTTATGATTCATTTTTACACTTTCCTCATTGCATTGTTCCAGTTATACCTACAATCAAATAACTTATCAGAGCTGGATGCTCGTTTCCTTCCGCGCTGGGATCTTCTAGAAGCAGTAGATGTATCCAACAATCCCTTCCTCTGCGATTGCTCCACGCAATGGATGGTCGACGTGTTGGTACCGGTGATTGAAGCAAAGCATGCGAACGCCACTGCTAATATGATGTAAGTGTTTAAAGATTTTTTTTTAAATATTATAAGGTGACATAAGCGCGCGACAACCAGATACCACAAAACTACCGAACACTATTACGACAAGCAAACTTCTTGGTGTGAGAGCTGAATTAACATTTTTTTTCTTAAAAGTAATTGGCACATAAAATATAAACTACTATTATATTTCGTACAAAAAATCTATTATTATAAATTAGGTATATTTTCCTGATAGTCTGTCTCTATTTTTGAATTATAATCAATCAAACTTCTACGTCTATTTTTTTAAAGATCATTCATATAAATAATGGCCAGCTCATATTATTGTACATGATATTTCCTTGTAACTACACACGTTATGTATTGACTAGCTATCACCCGCGACCCCGCCCACGCGGAATGAAAAATAAACTTAATGAATAGCCTATATGTTCTTCAAGACTATGCTCTATATATATGCCAAATTTCAGCAGGATCCGTTCAGCCGTTCTGGAGATATCTTCAAATAAACATCCATCCATTTATAATTTAAAAAGTATCTGCTTTTGTCTTAAAATATTTCTTTTTAAATTCGACATCTCGGGCTCTTAAATCGATAAACGTATGTCTTGAATACAAATAGCCTTCGTTTGAAAACAATTTTATACATGAAATATTAAGTAATACAAAAAAGCGTATTATAATTTTCCTGTTAAACCACATGGTGACAAAGACGTCGCGGTCTTTCCACGTCTCGGGTAGTTTTAAAGCTTCATTTTTTATAGTATTCTTAGTAACTATTAATATAATGGCTACATTTTTAAATAAACATAATCGATAAAATTTGAAAAGGCTAAAAAACACTTACTAATATTATAAATGCGAACGTTTAGATGGATGGATGTGGATCTCGCTGAAATTTGACATAGACGTAGAACATAGTCTGTAAGAACACATAGGCTACTAATTAAGTTTTTTTTCTTAATTCCGCGCAGACGGACTCGCAGGCAAGAACTAGTAAAAACTATTTTATTCATACCTATTTAGTTAAGTATAACTATTTAGATTTTTAAACAATTAAAAAACGCACTGCTTCAGTTAGGAATTAAGCAAAAAAATCTTTTGTATCCAACACATCGTACGCAAACATTCTCTACTCATCTACCATCTTCTACTTACTCTGTGCCTGTTTGATATACGTTCATACTAATTATTTTACCTAAATCTAGATCACGTGTTAATTAAGACGTGTTTCTTTATAGATGCAATGAACCGATCGAAATGAGAGGCTACACGATGAAGCACTTACATGATGTACATCGCACAATGCGCTGCGTCGACAAATACGGACACCGACCTGAAAAGGACGGCGCCATGTTGCTCGGGACACTTATAGGTTAGTTTTTATACTTATAAGGAAAAAGGCAAAGGCGATCGCGATTCAGCCAATGAAAAAACTTTTTTAGTTTAAAATAAAATAAAAAACGAAATATTTTAAAACGCGCTAGTAACTTACTCTATTCATAGAGGTAGACTCTATGAAGTTCAAGTCCAAAGTCAAGAATCATTAGTCAGGTTTGGAAATAATTCAATTTTACTACAATAATAATATTTGAGTTACCTTTTCTATCTAAGGTCACTAACATCTTGATTGTAACGGACAATTTGACGTTTGACGTTTGTAACAAACGCAACAAATGGTGTATGGGTTCACGATAATTTAAAAAATATTGCAAAATCCAAATGAAAAAAGAAAAAAGAAGAAAGTTATTAATCGTTAGTATTAAGTGGATATTTATTTAAAAAGCAATATTAATTTCAGGAGTGCTTCTGGCTGTTCCCATTATGTTAACCTTGATGCTGCTGTGGCGACACGGCTACTTCGGATGGCTCGGTCTCAGAGGACCCGTTGACGTTTCCCGCGCATTTTACAAACGCGCCCCCGCCGATGACAGTTTTAATATTTAAAATATTATGTAGTTATATTGACATAGTTTTTTTTTGTTAAGTTATTATTGAATTACTAGTATTGTTATTTATTACATACACTCTGTTTAATATTCGACACCTAACCTAAAATTCTTACTGCTTTGTATAACGGTCAAATAGAAAATAACGACTGTGTAACAAATACAATTTACGCATATACTTATACCAATTTACGTTTAATTTTTTAATGGTATTTAATTATGTTTTAACATGATTTTATTTTTGTTAGATAATAAGAGATTTTTAATAAATATTAATTTCAACATGATTTCATCATTTCATTAATTCAACGACAAACCAAAAATAATATCTATGGTTATTATTTCCTAAAAGTTGACCGCCTTCAAAAACATAACCCACAGATCCAGAGAATAAAATTGGGGCTAAAAAATCTACTCTATATACAAATTTGTCTATGAATTCAAGACGTCGAATTTGTTTGAAATATTCCATCTATAGGTTATGTATCTATGTTTCTACGTTTTTTTTATATCATAAGGTGGCAAACGAGCGAGCGGCCACTTGAAATCGCTGCAATTGCGAAGTGACCGTTGCCCATAGACATACGCAATTGCATATACGTTGCCTACCTTTAATCGACGGAGGAGAGGATGCACAGAAAGAAGACATTTTCCCTTCCCATGCATCCTCTCATCCGGAAAGTCCACTTCCATTTCCCATCCTATCCTTATAAGGAAAAGGGTGGGAAGGGCATGAGGACTAAATTAGGCCTCCGGGACGCACACTTATCAGACGAAACGCGGAATTGCTTCCACTTGACGCCTGTCTTCTGTGTGGTCGTGGTATTTCACCGGGCGAGTCGGGCCGATTCGTGCGAAGATGTTAAAGCGGGCTCTACCACTGTTAAAACGTACGTATAAGTTATTCCTTATCAATGTTTGCGTAACAAAAATAAAAAAAAAACCGGAAAATCGTAAATCTACAACAACCTCACATCTGTCAAAAATTAATGTCCGTTAACCCGGCGATACTGTTTGTATATTTTGATTTTCCCTTGACGAGCAAAGTCCGAACTATTGTTGGTTTATTAATTAAGATAAAATAACAAATAACATTCGAAGGTGATAAAATTTACATTTAAAACAACAATAAGTAATGCGTTAATAGGTTCCTTATTTAAGATATTATGCAAATGGTGCTCTAAAACCAAACGTCTAATTAAAATATTTATATATTAACTTCAACTTAAATAACGTATTACTAAGTAGTCTTGTTACATATCGTATGACGTATTTAACGAACAAAAAAATGATTGGGTATTTTGCTTTTAGGAATAAAATGTTAGATGACGTCATAGACATATTAATGTTATGACGTCATCTAAATGTAAACTTAGCATTTGTGCCTTCCAAAATCATCACCAAATTGTGTAAAGTATTTCTTACATTTTAATTAAATTAATCTTACTAATGTTATAAATGCGAAAGTTTAGATGGATGGATGGTTTGCTTGAAGGTATCTCCGGTACGGCTGAACCGATTTTGATCAAACTTGTCACACATGTAGTAGTCTGGAGGAACACATAGGTTATTTAGTGTTATTTTTTAATTCCGCGCGAACGCAGTCGCGGGTGATAGCTAGTTTCCCATGAAGCCGTCTCATTTCAGGCTAATCTAAATTATAGAATGGTGTGATTTTAATTTTATTTATTATGAATTAGATACAGTAACTAAGTCAGTGATGTAATTTGAATTCCTAGTATTTGAAAGATAGAAAGGTTGTTCCTAGAGAAATGCAAAATTGTTTTAATTTAATAGAGGAATCAATTTACGGGCGGTGTCACGATACTATTGTTTTAAAATAGGAAGCGAACAATCGGGCGTGGTTTTGTCACAAGATGGCGTAACTGCTGTCCAATTATTATGATTAAAAGTTAAAATTATCATTTCTCATTATTATCTTAGTACTCAAGATAGTCTCGGAAATATTTAAATTAGTTAGAAAAATAACAAGGAAAATTTAGATTTTTAAGCAATTCTTAATAGCTATAATAACTTTGCAATAAATATATACCTTGATTAACCATCAGAATGGAAAAGATAAAGTTAAACAGAAAAAAATTGTAGTACGTGACAGTCCTTTTTAAATAAAAAATATTTATTAAGACAAGTCAAAAGTACATTTGTATCAAATCTTTTCAATCGTGGCCAGTAAAAGAATCTTAATATGTTTTAAGATATGATAGCACAAGTCAAATAAGATTTATAAACAAAACTGGTTAATTTTAAGGAAAGTTACTCAAAAGGTATTATGGGATTCACGTAATATAAAAGAGGGACAACGAAGTCTAAAAGACAAAGGTTTCTTGGAACTGCTAGTACCCACCCATTGATTAAATTATACAGATTTATGGTTCTTTATTTATGTAATTATGGTTATTATTATTAAGTTAATAAATAATAAGTTAAAAGATAGACTAGTCGATAACCACAACTATTTTAAAACTGAAAAACTAACAAATACCGCTGCGAAAAAAGACAGTTTTTTAAAAAGTACAATAATGTCTTTCTCCATTTCTCATGCTTATTAACAATAGTTAAATATTTAATGTAGCAAATAACCAACAGTTTTTTAAGTAACTTAAAAACTGGAAAGAAATTCGACAAAGCGAAGAAATTTTAAAATAACCACATTAAAAATAACACGTTATATTACGTCAAGATAACTAACATATACGTATTTGTAGACAGAAAGCTGAAGGAATATCAAATGAGATTTTATATTTTCGCTGCAGGAAAACCGTTAAAGCTTCGAAGGGGTTTCCCGCGCCCGGTGAGTATTTCACGACTTTTATCGTGCAGGCCGCGACCAAACAACGGTCAGTGGCGATCCGACGCGCGCCCTGAATGTACGCGTATACGCACGTCGACTCAGGGTGAGAAGCGTGCGACGCGAATAAATTTGAAATAAACATACGATAATTTTCTTATAACAGTGATGAAAGGTCAAAGTAAAAGATTCGTGAGCCAAACCGGCGAATTCTACGATATGGGAACACCTATCAAAAGGAAACAGGACGTTACAATCGGGTTCTTCGGACTGGTGAGTCCCTTTTAAATTATTCAAATTTTAAAACGTTAGAAATATTTATGACCATTTTCGTTTGAATTAAAACCTTTTTGGAGTCATCTTTTTAAACATAAATACAGCTTTCATGGCATTTTAAAATTTACAAAGCTAGCAAAGTCAAATATTATTTCTAAATTACTGTTTACTTTTTAAACTCTACAAAAGTGTGAGGTTAGAACGTTTTATCGCTGTAAAAATAACTGCAAAATAATATTTATATGCTATATGAATAGAATATCGCATTGTTGGTATCGGAAACAAGCCACACATATCAACGGTCAACCAAACATGTGGTTAACCAAAGCTTTTGTTAGTAATATTTCACTGTTTTGAGTTCGGACAAATATTTTCGTAAAGTTATAATGTTGGTAAGTGCCGTTGAATAAAAGGCGTAACTTCATTATTTTGTTTACGAAAGTTTTTTTATTAGGTAAAAGTCTTGTGAACAAAATTGTTTATGAGATGTTTCTGAACCAGTAAAATAATTCAGTATCTATGTATTAAATTGTTTTGATTTAGTATTTATCTTTTTCCACCATAATGAAGCATGAACACATGTATTTTGAAGACAATAATTTACAAAGAGTATAATAACCCTTCGTATTTTCCTTGTCGATCCGTCATTATTATAATTATTAATATACATCGATATTCTTACATTTATTCTATATTAATTCCGCGGTGTTTCACTTACAGAAAAATTGTCAAACTTACAAGTTAAAAATATATGTCATTTCTTTACAATAACAGATGTTTAATAAGTAATTTATTTAGACTAATTCGTAGGCAATAGTCTAAGTCTCTCATATTTGGGATTTTTTGCAAATAAAATGGATACAACAAAAATAAAATTAAGATAAATCCATTTCCTGTATTAGGAATTAAGATAAACATAAAGAATAATCTTACAATTAACCTATTGATTAATTTATTAACCACTTAAAATCACTATGCACAAATAAATTATGATAACGCGTGTATAATTTAGCTTTCAATTTCCATACAAAGGTTAACGTTCGAGATCGCTCTTATACGATCAAAAAAGCAAACTTCATGTTTTCTTTGATATTTCTTATACCCGTTTCAAATTCTTTGCAAAACGGGTACATGATATTTGAACGCATACTTTCTTTCAAAATAACAGTGTTCTCTTTTCAAATGATTGAAAAACATTTAAATAAAATTTGATGCGTAATATATCTATTGTTTAAAATTTGCAGCAGTTACGCATTATTTTTACATTTGTTTTTATCCAATTGCCAAAAAAATGCATATAAAATTGTCTTAAAGTATTAATAAAAAGTTATTGGATGCTTTTTTATGTTTTCGTGAATGTTTTTGCTGTTAATTTTTTATTAAATTTTTGAGCAATTATAGGTCAATTAAGCGATGTCATTCATGATGACCTTGATTTTAAATATACTAAATATTCTTAACATTTATTAATTGATAGATTAAGTTAACAATTTAACAGTAGTAGAGCTCGCTTTAACATCTTCGCACGAATTGGCCCGGCTCGTTCGGTGAAATACCACGACCACACAGAAGACACGCGTCAAGTGGAAGCTATTCCGCGTTTCGTCTGATGAGAGTGCGTCCCGGAGGCCTAATTTAGTCCTCTTTCCCTTCTGCCCTTTTTCTTATAAGGAAAGGATGGGAAGTGGAAGAGGACTTTCCGGATGAGAGGATGCATCGAAATGTTTTCTTTCTGTGCATCCTCTCCTTCGTCGATTAAAGGTAGGCAACGCATATGCAATTGCGTATGTCTATGTCCAACGGTCACTACGCTATTTCAGGTGGCCGCTCGCTCGTTTGCCACCTTATGATATAAAACAAAAAATATTTTATGAACAGTTCAAGTCTTCATTTTTGGAACAACAAAAAATAATACTTGATAGCCTTCCTGCATTTATATAAATATCAAATACAATTGAAAGTAGTAATAACAAAAAGTTGATCGATCGGTCAATCACAGTTTCAAAAAAAGTTATGGTAAAAAAACTATAAAACCTTAGTTATTTATAGTTCAAATTCGAATACTATAAAAAATAAAATTCCTTTTTTTGAAAATAGAAAATCAGAAAATGTAAACATTTTTTCTAAAAAACCAAAACGCAAACAAATTCCTGGTCGTACATTAAACTCACAAACATCTAAAACCTAGAGTGATGTGATACTAGTTTTTATTTAAAAAACAGATGGGAATAGATTAAAAAAATTGATATCACGTGTTTTATGACGTAAAACAAAACCAGAAAAACCGCCACTCACGTAGCACCACTTCCGTTGATGCATGCGACATCTTTCAGATTAAGAATACTAATTTGTCCATCAATTACTAAATAATAATCTATTAATTACCCGTGAAAATCCAGCACAACGATATGCGTCATATGAATTTATTGATTTTTAATTACTATATAAAACGCAACATAAAACAATATCGAATTAAGTACTAGTTAGGACGCATTCAACGAGACTTAGAAAATCTACTCCATTTTAGCCTAACCGACTTCAAAAAGGAGGTTATCGTCTGTCATTCGTCTGTAAGTTCTTTTTTTTATTTTAAGCATATTTAGATCAGCTGTGTCAATTACAGGAAGAAAATGAGAGCGTTGTATTGATACTTTACAAAGACTTTCTCATAGGTTTCTAAAGATATGTATGAAGAATATACGAAGCAACAGAAAGCGAATAAACTTAAATTTCTCTGGTATTATCTTTTTCTGGGATGCGTACTTTGTTACTTAAGCACTTAGTATGTTGTATTATTAACAACTTGTAGAATAATCACAATGACTTGCGTGCACGATAAATATGTTTTAATTGTTGCGCACCACTGCATTTGCGACGGTGACTTACGACTCCTCGCTTAGGGTTGCCACTTTAAAAAAATCGATATCACTATTGAAATTGATGCTAAGATACCATAAACACACTATAATTATATGTCTAAAACCTAACCTGTAAATGAATTTAGCATTGTCGAGATTTTAATTTGTCGCTTACAAAGAGTATTTTAGAAGAAATGACGAACCATATCTGCATGTCTTAACACCTTGTCAATTTTTTTTAGTGTCAAAATCTCTCTCTATATGTATGGGTTTAGTTCTGGAGGTAAACGTAAGCGTCCTTCAGTGAACGTTCTCTTTTTCAATTTTCTAACAAAAAATCCCATCCCGTCATGACGTCACGCGCAAACCGGATCGCAGCGCGCGTGAAATGTCTAAATATTGCTTGACGAAAATAGATCAGTCGGCCGAACTGACGATGACCTTTCAAGATGCCTAATATCTTACAAAATTCATGAATTTCATATTGAATGGAGATTTATATTACTTTTTCAATTTATAACTTTGCTTGTCAGTTTAAAATTGATTTTTGTTTTACGGAACTCCGGGATTTTTTTATATAGGTTATGATGTTTTATTGTTGTTCTGTTCTTTTTTATTAATTTCCTTCTCATATTCATTCTCATACAGCCAGATATTTTTAGTAGCTATAAACCTAGTGATTTCTGTTTTCAATCAAGATACATAGCACATTTTTTGCAGATTCAATGAAGTTATAATTACTTGCGATTACGGAAATATAATCTAATGTGTGATCAAAACTAGTTATTATCGTGTTAATAAAAAAGTTGATGAAGTATTATACGATTCAATCTTTATGGTGGCTCGCGCTTAGTTGCATATCTGCACAGGTGCACTGTCAGTTGAGAAAAGTGTGCTCAAGAATTTGCCGCGCTACGCATTCCTTTACGCACCATTCTTAACGCCGACAAATTTTACATTATACTAAATATCATGTATTGAATAAAACATAAAACACTATTCAATTTCACACAACTATACGAAATTAACTTCATTTAATTTAAAACTTCCTATTATCTGTCAATTTTCACAAACTAACGGAAAAAGGAAATATGTTTATGGCCATCATGTATATATAACGTTTGTTTACTTAATTTCGGCATTAGTTCGAATTAAAACATGTTAATATAATTGTATTCAGCGCAACGAGTCGTGTTAGCAAGCTGCTATAAATTTTGGATAACATTGTATATTGGTATGCGAAGTGCGTAGTGTCGCGGTTGCATCAGATCAGTGCCTTGAACTTGGCCGATCGACGGACATTCAGAGGTTATTTACCATTAATTCAACAACTAAATTAAAATATTATCAATGTTATCGTAATAAAAGTTGTTCTGAGTTACGTGTTTCTTAGTTTATGTAATTTTTTATACGATTTAAGTATATGTATAATATTATAACATATTTGGTTATTGCGAAATAGATTGTTAAATAAAAAAATATTACAATAAACATTTTGTTATGATTTTTTAGAGTATCGGTTGCTCAAGGGTCAAGCACTTGACTTGCAATCTGCAGGTCCTGCGTTCGAATCCCGCCATGTACCAATGTGTTTTTCGATTTCCGATTTACATATGTATGCAACCTGCACATATCTGAGAAGAAATTCAAAGATATGTGTGAAGTCAACCACTTGGCCAGCGTGGTTAAATATGGCCTAATCACCCTTAACTTAGGGTAGGCTCCGAGCCCCACGGTGGGGACGTATAGTGAGCTGATGATGATGAATGATTTTTCGGTAAACAAAGATATTCTACTAATCCTATTAATATTATAAATGTGAATGTTTAGATGGATGGATGTTTGTTTAATAGTATCTCTAGAACGTCTGCATGGATCTTGCTGAAATTTGGCATAGATGTAGAACACAGAACACGTAGACTACTAATAAAGTTTTTTAGTTCCACGCGCATGGTGTCGAGTGCGACAGTTAATTATTATTTATCAAAGTTAATAGTGCATTTATACCCATAAATAAATCTAACAACTTCCGTTGATTTTTCCTATAATAAAGTAAAACGTATACACGTGGGCAATATAGAAATATTCTAGAATTGTTAATAAGTTTTAGCAATTATTTTCCATCGCTTTACCTGCAAT